TATATATATATAACATTTATGCAGATACTTATATCTAGTAGCTTTTAGATCCATGCATTCAGTGGGAAACTGGTGTTGCCATGCATAAGATACAGGAAAGAGCTGATTCTATTTCTATTTTAAGTGAATGACTAAACTGACAATCGAGGCATGAATCCACAAACAGCACACAATTCTCAAGAGAAAAGGGCTGAGGTGAAGAATCCAACCCATAATGCCAGCTGATGCATCACAGAAACACACTCCAGTTGTCTAATGTATTTTTTAATTCTTTGATCCATTTCAGCTTCATTTCAGTATTAAACTGCTGCTGGAGTTCACAATCAACTCAAACACACCGTCTCTGTCTCTGCCTCTGCACAAGCACAAACACCCTCAAAGTGGAAGTAGAGGAGGAGTCACACACGCGGGCGGCAGTGAGTTTACTATTCCTGTCAGCCGCCCAAACACATGACCTTTCACTCACACACTATAAGTGGAAAACAATTATGTAAAGGCACCATATGAGGTGTGTGTGTGTGTGTGGTCAGACAGATTTTAGCCTGTGCTGATGCAGTTCATTCTCGAACCTCCATTCATACCTGCATTCAGTTCAGAACCAAACCCAGAGTTGAGCCGCTCATTTACTTCAGACATCACGGCCCCTCTGAGACCAAACCAGAACAGAATGCTGCTGCTATACTCACACTGACTAATGCTGTCAGATATTAATATTACAGCCAGATATTAATAATACTGCCAGATACTATTGGTTCACTGCTGTGAGCAGTTATGAAACAATGGCTACAGTCCAAAGCTCAAGAAAAATGTTTTTTACTTGTCATGCCAACATTAATAGAGCCAACACACACAAAACGTTATTATAGCAACACATTTCCTTATTTGTATCAGAAAAATATACTGAAAATATATTTAAAACAAATATTACATATAATATAATAATTCAAAATTATTATATTGTATAATATATATGTTCACTATATTCTAAATATATATGTAACAATTGTTTGTTATTTAAATATAATAAATAAATAAATACAATTAAATAAATATAAAATATTTAAAACAAAACTCCATAAGTGTGTTTGTGTATATATATTATATTTTAAAAATTTCAAAAATAATTTGTATTTATATTAAAATACATAACACTGTTTACTACACACACACACACACACATATATATATAATAAAAGATTATATAAAAATCAGAATACATATTAATTTTTAAATATTCTAAACATTTATTTTATATTTTAAAATTACATATACATTTAAAAGATTATATATACATATACACATTTGTTTTATAATATTTAAAAATTATATAAAAATGATGTAAAATTGCAATACATTATATTGTTTACAATTTGCAATAACGCCATGACAAATGTAAATTTGTAAATGTTGCTTCACAAACATTACTGACTTTCACAACAATTTTTGCAATTTCAAAACCTCATCTTGCAGCTAGATAACATTACATTGGTGACAAACTGACTTCAGATGACTGTGGTAATGTTGAAGACATCACAGAACACCAAATGTTTAAGTTAGCAATAAAAACACATTTACATAATCAATAAAACATTGAATTGCAAGAACTCAAGCACTCGCCTGACATTAATATGTCAACCAGCCTGAAACAGGTTTCCACCTGTCAGAGTAAGTGTGTGTGGCATAATATTTAAAAGGAATAATTACTATTAATTCATCAGCTGGTTTGTAACTCTCTACAGTAGCAGCGGTGTATGACTGTGTGTTATGGAAACATTTACCACAGTAACATTTGCTATGACGACCACAACTGACAGCTCCATCTGCCTGTTTAAACACCATGCGTGCTTAAATACTGCGTGTATATTTAGCATCTAATAAGTGTCTTAATTAGTCATCTGAAGATATTTTTTACTAGTTTATGTAGGAGTTTGTGTTCTTTTCCTCCTCTGCCAGCTCATATCAGTTTCTCTCTGGCGTGATGTGAAGCGAATGATTGAATATCTCCTCTAGGAAGATCAACAAAGCCTTCGGACGGTTCCCGCAGACAGTGGCCCTAAACTCCCTTTCAGACGCTCCTCTGTTCTCCATCAGCGTCTTTCTCTCATGCAGCTCAATGTCTTCGTGCTAGGGATGTAACAAGTCACTGAACTCACGATTCGATTCACGATTTTTTTTTAACAAAATGAGATTTAAGACAAATTATAAATTAAATGTGTCCTTTTATTATTGCTTGGACAAAATACTGTACGTTTCTTTGTGAAATTGAAATATAACACTATAATAATATACTAATATAGCACTTGTAAATTATTGCTCTTTTGTTGGTTTTGATTGCTTCTATTGTCATCATTTGTAAGTCGCTTTGAATAAAAGCCATCTAAACTTTTCTAAAGACAGTAAGTTCCCCTCAGACATACATTCATAAACTCCTACCCCTAATTGAATCGCGATTTGTTTAGCATCTCAACCGATTTGAATCGTCACATATTTTCAACCGGCTCGCGGTTCATCTTTACATCCCTACTTCGTGCACAAAAATAAGATCAAATTCAGACGTCACATCCATTCTGCAGAGACATGACGGAGCACAGGAGACACTGTGTGTGTGTTTGTGTTTCACAGGACTGGCATCAGCTCTATTTGCATTTTGTAGAGAGACAAACAAGGCCGAAAGCCCAGAAGTTAAACACACTGAAATGCAGGGTAACTAATGAAAGCTGTCAAGAACACATCCGGCTCTATTTCACCACAAAATCAAAAGATAAGAATAAGAAGTTGATATTTTTTGGTTACCACTGGTATTATCCATGCTGATTTAAATTAAATAAAATTTTTGCAGTAATTTTACTCCAACATGCAACTGAGAATAAGTATTTCCAAAATATAAGAAGAAAATCAAAACAACAAAAGTAAAACATCCAGAAGCATTACAATAATGAGAATATGGGGGAAATGTCTTTAATTGTCATGAAAGTAATGCCAAAAAAATAAATGGAAAATATGCTTCCAGAACAAAGCACACAAAAAAGTGCACCATGCCAGCAACATCATCATCATCATCAAAAAAAAAAAAAAAATTAAATTAAAAATAAACTGGCATAAAGGCCAACAGTTCTTTATGATGAGGTCATAAACAGGTGCATCTGGATTAAACCTACACTGATTCAACCTAGTAACATTTCATTAGCGTGTAAAAGGGGTCATGAACTGAGAAATCAAAATTCCCTTGATCTTTTGACATATAAGAGGTCATTGTACTATAAAAACATCCTGTAATTTTCAGAACTCAAAACTTTCTCGTTAGTCTAAAAACAGCTTATATTGAAGCCGATCTGCCAAAACGACAGCTTGTGGAATGAGTCACTTTATGATGTAATAGTGTCTAAACTCCGCCTCCACAGAAGATGATCAACCCCTGCTTCTACATCACTGCCTGTTTAGCCCCAACCACCAATTCTACATCATAGCCTGTTTAGCTCCGCCCACCAATTCTACATCATATCCTGTTTAGCTCCGCCCACCAATTCACACATGTAGTGTAAATAACGAGAGAGGCAAAAGCAGGTTTATGCAGAAATCAAATGATAAAGATGCTCAGAAGACAACAAGATGCTGTTCAGAGCCAAGCTGTGGAAAAACACAGTCTTTGCATCGCCTTCCTTCTGATCCCAACATTAGGAATGGTTAGTTTGCAGGAGTAACAGAAATTAACTTTTCCAATGAGTTTACATTTTTTTTTTTTTTACCTTTTATGGGATGCATAAATGTATGCATCATCTTTTGTCTCAAATTCTTAAATTTAATCAATAAATTCAAAAGGTAAAACACTATAGGACTGTTACCAATCAAATGAAATTAGAATCAACAAAATTTGTGTTTGCAATGCAGAGGTGGCACAGAATCTGCATCTGAAGTGGCATTTTGATGCATTCACACAGACTGTTTAATGCAGGACATGAATGCATTTAACCTGCAGGTACAAATACATCATGTTTTGATGGTTTAAAAACAAAACGTTAAATAGTGATGTTTGAAATTATTTGGGGGAAAAAGGGAAAATATACTTTAAATATAAACCTAAAATCACTGCATGAGAGAGTCACGGAGTCATTCATTCAACCGATTCATTCAAACAGTTGTTGAAACTCTGTAGTGTGTTGCTCAGAGATGCAAAACAGTTCTACTGTGGCTTTGTTTGGAACTATTTTCGTTGTCGAAGTACAGCAAAAACAAGAACTGTTGTGTGTAAAATGTAAATCACTTAATATGAACTTCTTGTTTATTGAGATGTTCATCAAATCAATATCACATTTGCAATTATGCTGATATTTGGAGAAAATGTCACTCTTCGTGTGCTATTAACTATATCAGATGATATAAATATAAAAGACATATAAAAGTCATACAGGGGCATTTTTGCCCCCTTATCTTGACTTTCAGGGGAATTCTTTGGCTTGGTTTCACAGTCAGGGCTTAGACTAAGCCAGGATTAGGCCATAGTTCAATTAGGACATTTAAGTCATTTTTATAAAAGTGCCTTAAAAAAAAAAAACACACTACTCGTGTGCATCTTGAGGCAAAACAAAGGCACTGATATATTTTAAGATCAGTCAGTGTTTCTTTCAGTTGAAACAGCTCAGACTTACATTTTAGTCTGGGACTAGGCTTAAGCCTTGTCTGTGAAACCGGGGGTAAATGTATTTTAATAGACTACATCATGCAGTGAAAGCGTGAACTCTAAATGTGCTCGCGCAATAGTCTTACCTACATCATATGTGTGCACTCTCTGGGTGTGTTTTTGTTTGGTTTTTGCAATGTACTAGATAATGTCAAATCGCATATTGTTTAAACAACAATTCCGATATTATTGTAGACCAGTGGTTCTCAATTCCAGTCCTGGAGTCTGAATCAGGTGCGTTAAATAAAGGAGACAAACAAAATGTGCAGAGCAGTGGTACACCAGGTCTGGAACTGAGAACAGTTGTTGTAGACCAGGAGCGTTAAACTCAGTTCCTGGAGGGCCGGAGCCCTGCGGAGATTTGTTCCAACCCTGCTCCAAAACACATACCATGTAGTTTTCAAATAAGCATGAAGGACTTTCTTTACAAAGTGACATCGCCAACTACTGGAGTGGCCTGGCATGCATAATACAGCGTTTTAGTCTTTTTCGTGGATCAGTGTGAATAAGGGATTGTTTTGACAACATTGTTATCAGTACACAAAACTTAAAAAAAAAAAAAAAAAAAATGAAAAAAAAAACTTTTCAGTTCTATAGTAAATCATTGTCAGGTAAACATACCCTAAATGAGGACAGGATATTCATTTTTGGCTGAACTGTTCCTTTAAAAGTTCAAGACGTTCTGCGGACTGTGCAATGATGTCACAATCAATATATGAACACACACCTTTTAGGGTCTGCTGGTTCGTATGATTATTTTATAAAGTCCTAATGCGTGAAGAGGCCATTGGTCTGTCTGAATGCCACTGTAAATGTGGACATACATGCATGTGTGTGTGTGTGTGTGTAGCAGGTAGGCAGAATATCCGACGAGGGGGACAAACATTCCAAGGATTCCTGATCTCAAATCTCTGTCAACCTCTCTGTGTGTGTGTGTGTGTGAGGGAGCTTTTACTAAGGTCACTTGAATAAATGGATTTCGAACACTTTGTTTTAAGAAGCAGCAGGGGCCCATTCACACTCACTCGCACACACACTCATACACACATACAAAAGTACTGGCATGAAGACACTCTCATGGTTATTTTTGCCTCAGTGACGACTTCAACTCTCTTTGGTCTGGTATGAACATGCACAAATATGATCTCTCAAACTCACAGATAACAGCATCAGTTTTGACTTTTTTTTCTGGTCTTATTGTGTCTGAATCCAAAGAAAAACACTGTCTGTTCTCATTATCTTCTGTTAAAAGTGAATAACTTGCTATGTCTTAGATTGTATCTCACTAGAGCACAAGTTACAGCCCCTTACAAAAAGTACCATGGTATTACCATGCTATTTAGGACACCACCATTATGGTAGCAGCATCGAATTCTTCCAAGTACCACATAAATAACTTTAGGTTAATACTTTATGGACACTATGGTCTCACTGTTTATTAATAAAGAGGTTTAATTTCCAATCCAGAACTCAAAGTTCAATGTCAGATCAACGAAACAGAAAACAACACAACTGATTAATTTACCCCATTCTTACAAAATATACTGTGGTCATACCATGGTACTGAATGAGCATTTACATCAGTACCACAGAACGACCATGCTTTGTTTTGTTTTTGGGACATGGCACCATGATATTTTTGGAAATACCCTGGAATAGCACCAGGTAAATAAATACCATGAATTTCAGTACCATGGTATAAAGTACTATCGTGGTCTACAATAGTACTTTTTTTGTAAACAATGTAACTATTACAAAGTAATTCAAAGAAATGAGTCACGGTACATGTTCAAAAGCATGGTAATACTATGGTATTTTTGTCAAAGCCTTTTAATGTCGTGTTTGAGTTTCTCTTTCTGACGTCCTGCGAAAACACAACAAACCACATATACTAGCTGCAAAATTTCCCATAAACATACAAATACACACGACACGAATAGCTGAAATCTCTATGAACATCTGATGTTCAGTAAGAAGTTAGTTTCAGGATGTTTCGCGTTTGTTGTTTTCGCTGAACGGAAACTGTGTCGACTGCAAGAACAGACGCGTTTGCTCAATCCACACAGAAACAACCCCAAAATCTACACGTGCGTGTGTGTTATATAGGAATTACCAAGGACTAAGACTTCATTTCTTTAAGTTAGAAGAATGAAGAGATGAAAGCGAGCAGCCATGTTGTCAAACATTAACTCCATCTTCACCTCATTCACCGCTCAGAGTTTCTTTCCTGCAGATGTGAGTACGTTTTTACAGTTTATAGTGTTAGATTATCATTTAAAGCGTCGTGTTGTCGTGTGTAATTCGGGGTTTTGGTTTGTAGTTGTGTGTTTAATGGAGGTTTAGTGAAGTGAAGAGCAGAAGTTCGGTTTTGACTCACCGGAGCGAATTTCCGCCGCTCGGATCCTGTTAAAAACCCTCCAACATCAGACTCTCATCTCAGCCTCTGATTTCTCATTAGATTCTCATTGTATCCGATGATTCAGTGCAGTTGAGTCACGATTCATTCACGAGATCTCCGGTGTAACGACAGACAGCTCTGTGTGATCTCGCCATACTGGAGTAAGTCAGTGACAGTCAATGAACTCTCTCACTCTCTCACTCTCTCACTCTCTCTCTCTCTCTCTCTCTCGGTATGAGCACGACACACAATGTTGCACTCAGTATTTACACATTATATTGCCACATTAGAGAAATGGGGACTAGTATTGATAATGCCAAATAAATAAATACACTATCATAAACAATAACAACATTTAACAATATATCAATAACATACACAATACTAAACATTTTGATTTTGTAAATATAAACTCTATTATATTATGTGTAATATTATAATATTTGTTTAAAAATTTTATCATGTATAATATTTATTTTCAAATATATTCAATGTTTATACAAATACATTTGGAGCTATTGAAAATGTTGGCAGGTCACGTGAAAATCTTTTTTTATTTTTGTTGATCCCATTTTTGTAGCCCCACCTTCATAACTGCTCACAACGGTGAACCAATAATGTATTATTAATATCAGACAGTATTATTACTAATATCTGAAAATATTAGTCAGTGTAACATTCTGTTCTGGTTTAGTTTTCGAGAGGCTAATAATGTAAGCAGATATACCAGAAGTTGCAATCCATCGTGCGAAATATTTGTATTACAAACCTGCTCTCTCATTTGCATTCTTTTATGAAAAACAAATGCATTTTATGTTTTTTGGAATGTCCACGATTTATCGATCATATTTACACCATTTTTCAACTAGTCTGAAGAATAGTTTTAAAAGTACAATTTTTTACTGAACACAAGTAAGAATGACATATGAGAACTACAGCGGATGGGAAGATTAGTGAATTAATATAATGCTATCATATGCCTTGAAAAATAGCAAACAAGTCAATGCTTATATATTGTTTTTTGGCAGTGGCAGTATAAATCACCATGCATTCGTGGCTGCCTAAGGACATGTTGCCTAGAATCTCCCTTTGTGTTTCACAGGAGAAAGAACATAATGCAGGGTTGGAGCAACATGACGGTATTTTTGGGTGAACTCTTCCTCTACGTGTGTAATGATGTCAGAGCTCACCCACCCGTGAGATATGTTTAGATTCAAGGGCCAGACTAATGACTCAGATGACAGAGACCTGCATGTTTACCAAACTTACATCTGAACTCAATGAGCCGAAACAATCATTATTATTAGTGGGTAAACATCAGCACTGAGAGTGATTCAAAAGAAAACCGTTTCGTGTTTTTCAGACCAGCTGAGACACAGGACACAACGAAACAGCCTCAGAATAACACAAATCAAACATCTGAGGGTCTAGAGGACACCAACCACAAATTTAACACAATGGTGAGTTACTTAATTATTATTTCATTTATTTGATTAAATTACATATTTTATATGTAAATACTTATTTATACTGTAAATATAAATTATATAATATAATATTTATAATACAATTATAATCGTAATGATAATATTTATAACATTTATTATCAAACATTTTCTGATACAAATAAGGAAATATGCTGTCAAAATCTAAAATCTAAAATGTATCATTTTTTTGTGGTGGAGCTATTTGTCACAAATCTGGTCCATGGTCTTCCGTCTGCTCGCCACATTGACTCTCACACCACACAAACTGTTGCACGTCACCCTGGACTACATTTCCCATGCGCCATTGCACTGATTGGACTCACCTGCAGACAATCACACACACTATATTACACCCACTCAGATCCTTCTCAAACTGCGGAGTATTGTCTGTGTTTATCACTCTCCTAGTGGTAGCACTTTACGGAGCCAGTATCCTGTCTGAGTTTAGTCTAGTTCCTAGTTCTAGTCCTGTTTCTAGTTTTGCCTGATTGTCTGTTCCTGATAACCTGCCTGTCTTGGATTTCTCTCTCGTCTTGTTGT